CTTCAGCAAGTGCTGCAACAGGCATTAGCCTCCGGCGTGCTGATTTTTTGCAACCGGGAGGCTGTACAGAGCCCAGCACGTCCCAGGGTGTCACCAGGAACTGCAATTCGGCCCTCATTGAGGTTGTCATTCCGCTGGATATATGAGAGGTTCCTCGGGTGTCCCTAGGGTGTCCAGTGTTGAGGGGAAAAAAACCTCCTCATACTAAAACCAGTACTTTTTGGTGAGTCTCAGAATAATGCTGATTCCTAATGTCCCCTACAACTTCAGATACATGATTACATGTCGGTTTTGTGTTGATTTGCATACAAAACAAACCTGCCATCTTAAAAGTAACATAACTATTACCATACAATGACACGTGGCTCCACTTTTCATCTGGGAATTGAGATGTTATGAAACATTGGTTGATGGCCTTGAAACCAGGGCTCTGAAAAAAAAAAGACCATTAGAATTTATATTGTGGTGGAAGTTAAAATACTCACAGAGAAGGGACAAGGAATATGACTTCTATCAATTTATAAAAGCCGCAGGTTGGTAGATGATTGGTCAGGGAAAATGCTAGTGCAGGGTTACAAGTTAAAGGCAACAATCTGCCGCATCGTACGGGATCAATCAGACACAAGTCTATGCTCAGCTGCAGAATAGAGGAGCTGCCCTCCCAGCGCACGATCAAACGTCACGGGAGACAAAACCAGCAATTTTCGGTTCCAGAGCGAGCAGGGCCATAGGCAAACATTACTCCTCAGTTTTGTCTTCATGCAGAGTTGTGATGTTTGAGGCAATACAGTTACCCACGTTATTTTCTGCTGTCTGTTTTGCTGATTCCAGGTGGGAAAGCCCCCACAGGTCACAGAGGTGGTGGTAAGGGTCAAAGAATCACAGAATGGTTTGGGTTGGAAGGGCCCTTAAAGACCATCTAGTTCCAACCCCCCTGCCATGGGCAGGGACACCTTCCACTAGACCAGGTTGCTCAAAGCCTCATCCAGCCTGGCCTTGAACACTTCCAGGGATGGGGCATCCACAGCTTCTCTGGGCAACCTGTTCCAGTGCCTCACCACCCTCTCCGGGAAGAATTTCTTCCTGATACCCAATTTAAATCTCCCCACTTTCAATTTAAACCCATTACCCCTTGTCCTGTCACTACAGACCCTTGTAAAAAGTCCCCTCCCAGCTTCCTTGTAGCCCCTTCAGGTACTGGAAGGCTGCAATAAGGTCTCCCTGGAGCCTTCTCCAGGCTGAACAAGCCCAACTCTCTCAGCCTTAAAGGACAGGTAGCAGGGCTGCCTCTACCTTAATTCTTTTATGGACTCCCACATTACTCCCTGCCATCAGAGCCTCCCTAATTTTTAGATCATTAAGCCATGCTTTAGAGATGAAACGGGATTAAAGTGAAATATATTACTTTCATTAAGGATCCTCATCTATTCTCACCACATCTGGAAAGCCATCTTCTAAAATGATTGCTTTAGAAAGCCAGAAAAAATGACAAGGGTGGAGCTATTTAATCTTTCAAATTCTTTAATGACTACGTACTTCAGACTCACTGGATCAGTGATTTTTTTGCTTTGGGGAGATTAGAGTACACATAAAAACCCCATTATTTTGGTGCTTCTTAGCTATAGCAGCATGATGAAGACATGAGACATACCACTCATTCTCACACCTGCTCCACACACACACCCCCCCCCCCCC